TTTGTTCAATCAATTATGTGAAAATTGAGCAGGTTCCAAGTTTTAAGTCATACCGCATCAGACATGTCACAATGGAGCTTAGTTACGGAGTCTCCTCTTCCAAGCTCTTCCATAAAACCATAAGCAATATATGTTTTTGGGCCCATGTCTGGTTTCAAGACACCTGGCGGCAACTTAACAGCAAGGTTAAGGAAACCAGCTCTAGGATCTGTGTACTCTAGAAATGGCAAGGCACTGATAAATTCATCACAATGACGCGGTAAAAGATCCTCAAACTTATCAGAAGGGGGCCAATCCTTCAGCTTAAGCATCTCTGGCCACAAGTTTTTGTACATTCTCCCTTCGGTGTATCCTTGAAAAAACTGACGAGTGTTGATTTCCACCTGCAGAAGTTCACAAAACAGCATTGAATGTGCAATATGGGAGAAAAAAAAAACAAAGTGAAAAGAGGAATGAAAAACTTCAGAAAAAAGTATGCATGAGAGGGGAGAGAGAGGACCTTTAAATAAAATTGGTGCTATACTACTAAAGCTTTGACCTAATGTGCAGCCATAGTTCCAGGCAGGAACATTGTTGTGCCAAATTAATAATTGCAGAAGTATAGGAAAAAATATTGAACGACATAAGACATTAGATTGTCAAGCACACCAAACAAGGGGATTTGAATCGATATTTATAGATCTGATCAAATGAATGCATTAAAGAAAAATTTTCATTTGCCAGAAGTTAAAAGAGCAAATAGAGTAACAGCTGCTAAAAGAACCACACCTCACAACCAGCCAGGCAATCGATGGTCTTTACTTCTGAATATTGTGTACTAGTTGCATCCATATTTTCACTTAAAGCACGCCACATTACCATTGGTTCCCAGCTCAGACCATTTGCCTGTTCGAGCACATTTTTAACAATAACTGGTTCACCATTCACCCAATGTTCTTTAAAGTGCAAAAGCTCTTCTTCTTTCAGAGTGTCCTTTGAATCAGGGCAAAACAAGAAGTTGTCACAAGAACCTTCTCTGGAAGCTGCTTTTCGTAACATATCTCTTCTTGTTTCACAATTATGCTTGAATGTAGAACGCTCTTTTTGGAAAGTCTCTAATAAATATTTTGCTTTCACTACTAAATTTGAGATACAGTCGGCCGGAAGGATGCGCTTGAGATCCAACACGCAGTCACCACAGCCACCCATTTCTTTCGGAGCACAACTAACAGTAGCATCACTGTTTGCCTTCCACTCAGTCAAAGGCTTAATATGGTCCTCTGACTCTTTCAAGGGACAACAGTCAGGTGCCGGGTCTCCACCATGGATGTAATCATAACCCCTACTCCTATATTGAAATTTCATGTCTCCACGGTCAAAAAGACATCCCTGGCGAATTTCTTGGCAGCAATTTAGACAAAGTTCATACGAACATTTTGAGCAGCTTCGGTGTAGATCAATTATTGAAGTTGCACAGTGGTTGCTTTTGCAAGCATATAAAGTAATATTTAGACAGTGACAAAACAAATCACATAATATTCCCTTGTAGTAAAGTAGAGATGCTTACCAATAGACACGCTCATCATTAAAACAGAGAGTCTGCGGTATTTCAACTGCAGAAGGTGAAAGCCCTGAAGGACAGTTGCTGTTAGAAGTGTCGTAAAGTTCAAAACAAACTGAAGCCAAAGCCAATAATATTGTACCTCGAAGATTAGCTTCAATCTCTATCTCCTGATTTTGTTCTTGGGAAATTTTCTTTAGAAATGGAAGCAAGTTGGAAAGTAAATGCTCCAGATGCTGAGCCTTTTTGCGGTCATCTAAATCCGTCTCTGGTATCTGCAGTTCCCAAAAAAGAAAGGATCCCATATTAGTATAATTTTCTTTAGAGGGAGCAATACTTAGAAAGTAATAATAGGGAAACAAACCTTAATCACACCAGTTGAGTGCAGGCATGCATTACAGTTGCAATTCTTGCGGCAAAATGGGCAAAGTTCCTTGACTTCCTTTAGTTTCATGTGAGGATACCTAAATGAACAACAGAAGTAAATCATGATAAAATAAAAATACAAGTTTCAAATTCAAAAAGAAACCGCATCTGTATTAAAAATATACCATTGCTTGATACAGCAGATGCAATAGGAGTTCTTTTTACATTTGGAGCAGGAAAGAATAGTCTTCTTCTCCTCTTTCATACACTGATGACACTTTAAATTAACTTCTTCATTATCCTGCTTTAAGAAAGAAACAGAAAACTTTCAGTCAGACTACCCTTATTTACTTAGATAAAATTACGAGGCAACTGTATGGGAGATGAATAATACCTTCATATCTCTTGATCCAGGAGAAGTTGGTGGTGAAGAAGACGAGGTATTGCAAGCTCCATTCCTTGACTCATATCTTACTGTTCCATCCTTTAAGGAACTTCTTCCTATCACTTCACAGTCAACTCCTCCCCTTTTGCGCGCTTGTGCCTTAACAAGAAACAGAATTTCCCCATCAAACTCATCTTCAGAACTTTCTACCACTTTTGAGGAGGAGCGTCGCTTTTTCGAAATCCTTTTTCCATTCTCTGGAGTAAGCCGCCTCTTTTTAGCCTCTGTTCCAGTCAATGATGAGAAGTCCTTGTGCTTTTCATCCTCTTCTGATTTGTCGCCTCCCTTTCCATGATGCAGGAAATTGGAACGTCTTCTCTTAGGCACCCTAATATCTTTATCAGTTATACCGCTCCAGCCGCCCTTGTTCTACTATCAAAACTTCCATTCTTAATTCCTATAGAACAGGACAGAATCATCGGACACTAGTATCGTAACAGCATTCAAAACCAACAATGTTACAGGTTCACATAATCCATTTGTTTTCTCTTAGGATGAAAAAACAATATGTGCATCATAAAAATTGAATTGTTTTTATGGACAAACAATGCCAATTGCACACATCATACAACAGTGATCCTCCCTGGAAATTTTCTTTGGCGAAAACAAGCAGATTGAATTTAAATTCCAACCATCCTTGCAAACTGTATTTGAATACAATTCCAATTTGTTCTGAGTCAGTGCAGAACAAACGCCACTGTTGACTGTGATCATTCCTGGAAAATTTTTATTTTCCATGAAAACAAACAGATTGATATTTAATACCAAGAATACAACAATGTATTTGAATTAAATTGCAATTTGTTTTGACATTCCAAAACTGTTCTGAGTCAATGCAGCTCTGTTGACTTCAGTCAACCGACCCAGAATCCGGTTTCAAGCACAAACCCCTTAATCCAATCCAATCCCATAAAACCCTTAATCCAATCCCATTCCCATACAACCATATAATCCAGTCCCACCCAAACATGCAATTTTTTTTCCTTTTTTTTCTACTTTAAGCGCCAAAATTCATAAAACAGAACCGAATTTTCAAAAAAGAACAAGAATTCGAATAAAATGGCAGATAAAAACGAGAGAATTCAAATGGGACTGACCTAAAAATGATTGAAAACTCCAGAGAGCCGAATAACCAGCTGGGAATTTGGCCTTTCAGAGGCGTAGTTGCACTTGCATGTTGATTGATTTCTTGAAGCTATCGAATTTTCTGAATTCTGGGTTCGAAACGGTTTCTGGGAATCTTGGGGGCGAAAGGAATCGGGAATGCGAGCGATGGGATCAGAGAAACGAAAAGTGAGAAGAGAGAGATGGAGGGAGGGAGAGTCGGAGGGAGGTGCGGAAGCTGGTTAATTTGGACGAAGGGTATATATACGGAGCGTTTTTTCTGAGGACGACTAGCCAGCAGAATATGTCCCTTTGGATTTGGAAAGTCGTTCGGCCAACAGTGTCTAATTCGCCTCTGTGTGCGTGGTTTGGGCCTTAATTAGTACATATCTTCTGGCCCACTTTCCGTAATGGTGATGTGTTCTATTGGATAGATTTTTATGTGGCCGGAAACTTGTACGCCACATTTTTTTTCTTAGTGTTTATATTTTATATTACGATAGGTATACTGATTTATTTTTCATGTAAACTGAAAAATCTCTCATTTAATTAGAGAAATTTTTAATATGCTGAAACACAATTTGGTACATTAAGCGTAATAATATAATTGGTTGGACATTTAAAAAAAATGTACTGACCCGTTTTTTCGGTACACTGAAAACTTTTTTATATAAGAGGTAGAAATCATGAGAGATAAGCACGTGTACGAATTAAATGTTTATTTTTATTGAAAACGACATTCTAGTCTATTCCAATAAAAAAATATAAAGTTTCAAGTACCTTGACCGTTAAGGCAATACAGCACTAAGAAGTGGATAGATACAAACTGTAAAAGAAATATATAAAAAAACATTAATTAACATATATAGCATTTTGATACTATGCTTACCAAAAAAAAAAAAAAAATGAACACGTTTAGAAAGAGTTTTTAGAGAAAATGTTTGTGGGTTCTAAAAACACTTAAAGTGTTTTCTGCAAAAAGCACTAATTATGTGCTGTTTCCAAGAAGTGCTTCTCCATGATTAGTTCAAAAAACATTTTCAACAAAAACAATTTCAATCATTTAAAAAGTACTTCCAAACAAGATAACCAGTGTGTATGTTCCACATCCAATGACACAAAACTGTTATAATTTTTCTATTATAAGTATTGTTTACCCTGGCGCTTTTAATCATTAAATCTTTGCTCAAAAAATACAATAATCTAACTCTACCAGTTAAAAACTAGAATATACAAGAATTTCTCGCATATTGCATCACTTACACATTACAAAAGGAGTAGGATTCTCTCTGATCCTATTCTCATCCCCTTCCCTCCTCTCTCTTCACATATTGTTTTTTTGTCTTCTTATGATTACTAAAAAATTAACACCAAATATTGACATAATTTAACCGTAACCGTTCAAATAAGAGGAAAATGAAGGATAGAAAAACTAGAGACAACCCTACTCCACATCGTCAGCATGGTTTTTGTTCCTGTTAGTTTTGGGTTTTGTTTGCCTGGGAGCGGGTGAATCATAAGTTACATGTTTACTGCACTGTTACGTAAAGAAAACGCTTCCTTTCACTTCCATGATATTTCAACTAACATCTGTCAATATACAAACCATTTCAAAAAGCATAATTTCACGAACTACACAATATGTCAACACAAAAAAGACGCTGCAAAAACCAAACTACATTGTCCTACAGTCTTCCCGTTCGTCTTCTTCCTTTGCACAACGAGCAACAAAAACTCGGGACTCTCTCTCTCCTTCCTCCCGGTGCATCGTTATCAGCTCTTTTGATTTACAACGCCATTATCCTCCACTCGTACAGACACTGTACTGGTCAAATTTACAGCTAACATCTACGTTTCCAACTTGGAATTTACGGCTGTGCAAGTTCTTCAACATCAGGCATTGTCGGCGAGGATCCACCGGTCATTCTGCTAGGCGCTGGGGTGTTCCTCCGGGAATGCCGTTTTGTGGCCACAATCACGCTCTCAGTTTCACCCTTTTCAAACGATTCATGGTCTTCTTCGTCGTCACACTCCTTGAAAACCGGATGGATATACGCGCTCTGAAGATAGCCTTTCAAATTCAAGTTCGGTTCTCTTGCTTGTTCCAGTGTATCTTTCATCATTGCTTCCTATACACCGAAAAATAAAGAATTAAACAATGATGATAATTTTGATGAGCAGATTACAAAGACAAGGGAAATGCCTACATACCTGTAATGGGTATCTCTTGAATGCAGGTTCGAAACGACCTTTGCAATACCTATGGAACCATAAGGTCAGTACTGGAAGCGCAATGAGAAACGGCGTTGACTGAGCAGCCTTTTTTGTACTCAACAGCCCAAACAAGAGGAGTTGTGAGATGATCAATGCAGTGATAATACGACCATGGACATCAGGCCAGAATGCCGCAGCGCTCTCATACTCCTGGTTATACACATTTATGATCTGCATGTGGAGCATAAAAAAGACAGAGGTTAAAAATATCCTACAACAAAAGATATAACTATTAGAACGGAAGTATAATTTGATGCCAACTTTTTACCTGATGACGGAAAACCACATAAGCCAGGCCAAAGAAAATTATTATGAACGGAAGTAAGGTTGGTGTCACCGTAGCATACACAAGGCCGAGTAGGAGATATAACTGAATACGAGGCTCTCCGGTGTTGAAACCAATACTTCCTGGATTCATGGCCTCCTCCCTATCCTTGTCAGTCTTCACCAGGAAGAAATTCTTCAAGTGGTATATTATCAGCGGTTTCAACATCAAAATCTCTGCAGCAATACCGGCCCATCCATCAACCATTATATACGTGATAAAGAAAGTTGCTTTCATTGGGATAGCAACACCAATTGTTTTTGGAATCCTGCGAAAATACAATAATACTTCATTTTCATGATCTGAACCAAGATAAGAGACGGTGAACAACATATTAAAAAAAAATTATCTTCAAGGATTACGTACTCGGTTGCTGATTGGTGAATGAAAGAATCTAGCTGTTCAAATGCAGTTCCAGCAATAATGCTCCCAAGGAATACATTCACCAGAGAGAAGAGATAGTATCTCGATGCTGCTCTCCGTTCAAGAGAAGACTTAGATGGATAGCCCTCAAATTTCGCCATGATCATCAATATCTTTGGTAGAAAAATTAGAAATAACTTCAGCGCAATTCCGGGTAGAAAACCTGCAATGACTGACTTAATGAATTTCCTGCATATCAATCAAGGGGATATTAGTAATAGTAATAACAAAAACTAGAAACTAGGCTAAAAATTTCGAGGATGAAACAACTCACGCTTCTACAACGGGCTTTAGGAATGGAGCTGCTTTCTCAATTCCCTCGAGGCTTGCAAAAGACTGTACGATTGCAATGGGGATCATGAAAAAGAAGGTGAGAAAAAAGAATGCCACACCCATAATAAGCCTCTTGACTGTGAGTTGTACATATGGAACTGCCAGGTTTGGCCAATATACATCACGTGGCTCTGGAGCCCACTCGGTTAACCAAATAGTTGGGTTTCTGGATTGCTGAGTTTGTGCACAAACAGCGGCACCCCATCGAGTTTTAAAGGAAACAAAGGCAGCTGGCATGATAGACTTCGGATCATGAGCAACCCTCTCTTTTTCTTCAGCTATCTGAGAAAAAAGAAGAAAAATGCATTTGAATCAACCTCCTGGAGAAGTAGAGATTTGACTAGGAACTCAAGGAATTGTACTTACTTGATTTGTCAATTTCTCAATCTCAGTTTCATAATGTTCAATTGCATCAACTTTTTTTCCCCAGAGCCCAAGAAAACCAGTCTGTTATTAACATATACACAATACACAGGTTAAATCAGAAATTAATAAGTAGCTCTGAACACTGGAAACATATTAGTTTCTAACACATGAGCGCATTTGAAGTACCTTCTTTAAGGGTCTTGTTGCGGTTTTACTTCTAGAAAGCTTATTTCGATAGTAGACAAGCCAGTTCAACATCTTTTTCTTCTTCTTTACCAATTTCGCAAGTGAGTTGGCATTGTATACCACCTGCATGTAATATTCAGAATGGGGTTAATTAGGTCGAGATGTTTCACAAATTTATACTATCTATTTAAACCACACAGAAACACGAGAAAAACGAAGTATTTATAAACACTAAGCTAAATTTAAAATGCATGATAATGTTCTCTTATTTCAGAAACAAACCTGATGTGTAAGATAGTGATCTGGATGGTTGACAAGAAAAAAGTGCTCCACAAGCTCACTTGTAGATTCGTCGGAATCTGGTGGAACATTTCGAACAAGGACCTGTGGAAAAACAAAGCCATAAGTTTGGTACCTGAACACGGGCTTACAGAGTTGTTTTGTCCTCTCTTTTTGACATCACTACAAAGCAATTGCATCACAGAAAATATTCTAAAAAAGGAAATCAAAGCAGCCACATGACCTCCAATGTTTGAAACACGAAGGTACCACAGTACTAACTCCCAACAATGTTTAAGTCATCAAATGTTTTATTTTCATAGTTATATGTTTTAAAGTCTAATACGATAATCTGAACAAATAAACCGAGCACATAGTCAATCTCACCGTAAACTGATCTGGTCGGCGTTCTTCTGCTGCAAGAAAATGCAGCCTCATATTGGCAACTTTCTCATACTCCTTCAGCAGCACGTAGCATGTCCAAATGGTAAAGGCATAGGCCATCACTATATGACTCCAGAATCTGAAATACAAATGACATTATTATTTATTATCTTGTCCAAATATATAAAACGACTCATGCTTGGTACAGAAATGACATACTTCTAAAGGCAGGAAAAATTATCATACGCATCTAAAAATGACAATTTAAGAAGGATAAGCAAGAAAGAGGGGTTTCTAACCTGGGCGATTCATCTGGGACATTTGAAATTGAGAGCTTATCAATGTCACTTGAAGTAACATTCTTTATCTTTTCTAGATCCAAAGTGATATTTGTATAGTTGACCGGTACCAAAACAGCCCATGCAAGGAGTGCTATAGGAACAAAGATTTTAAGCCTGCAAGAATAAAAGAGAATAGAGCAATAAACATCAGCTAACAAATTATATTTACAAGCGAAAATTTGGGTAGTGTTTAGTTAAAGCAGAACAAGTTTCGGTGATTTGGAAGCGAGGAATCATATTAGAAATACAAGCGGAACATAATATTAACATACTATCACAGCAAAGACTATGAGTAGCAAGCATAACGAAGAAATAGGAGAATTAATGCAGCATACCCTATCAAGTATATCCGCAAGTAAACTGCAGAATCTAATCCTGCATGATCAATAAGCTCTGGTTCCGGCATCCTCAGCGCAGCTGGCATCCAATTCAAGAACCTTAAGTATGACCTGAAGTCGAGATTGACAAACTTGCGCACAAACGCGCCAGAATGAGTGGGACTCTCCCTTAATCCCTTCAAATACCATTTGGGAAAGTAGACCCTGTCGTTGAGGGGTTGAAGCCTAAGAAAGGCAAACACCAGAAAGAAAATGAGCGCGCTGAGAATATTGATGCCCGCTCCAACCCCTAAATCTCCAAGTGTAGCCATTTATATCGCCCACAAACAACAATGCAATAACCTGTAAAACGAGTATTACCATTAACGTTAACAAAACAGTATCCACACAAATGAATATCATATGCCACAACCAATATGAAAGCACAAAGCCACAGAGAAAAAGAAACCATGAACACAATTTCTCACAACCTGGAACCACTGGACTTTACGAAATTGCAAAGCAATCCAATCCAGCCAAAATGGTAACAATTTATTCTAATCAGACAACTATTCATATGCAACAATAACGCATCTACGAATAAAAGGCTACTATATCAAAATATTTCCGTCGTTCTTTCGCGTTATACAGCCTCTGTATCAAACACCATAAATTGAAAACAGTTCCCGATCCCATATTTTCCATGAAAGTGAGTCTTAAAACAACTACAAACAAGTAAGAAATTAATTAATTAAATAATTATTCGATAAGCACGGCGAAATTACACTATAGCTGCAAAAAATTCCATACAATTACCAACAGGTACAGTAACTATAAATTAAGCATGCTTAAGGCTACTAACCTCGAGATTTAACTTCACAATTTGGCTGCTAAAACCCCCTAAATCTGAAGAAATAATGAACTTAGGAAAGAATAAAAACCAGGGTTTTTATGGATCGGGGAAGTCGAATCAGAACGTGATCGAATTGCTTCAAATTTCACTTAAAGAAAGCATAATTCTTTCTTTTCTCCCTCCTTCCAATAAACCCAAGAACTCACGCTACTGTGAACGTGCTTCCACCGCAAAGTCTCCACCTTTGAATCACAGCCACTGAGAAAATTAACACATAAGTGGGAAATCAAACTGCAGTAATCGCATTCCTTCGTGGACAGGCAAATTCCACACAGAGACAGAGAGAGAGAGAGAGAGAGGAGGAGGGTGGTGGGTTTTTGAAGGTTCTTGGTCGGCTTCGGTTTTACTTTTTGTTGTGTGGATTTCTGGATTTAGTCAAAAACATGTATTAATAACGTCGCTTTACTTAAGTTTCGGTGTCGGCAAGGGGGTGTGTGTCACAGTGTGGTGTCCAACGGCTACTTTTCGGTGAGTATCTGGATCGGACGATGGCGAAAGGCGGTGCTCACGCGCGGTTTGGTGAGGGTGGAAGCACGGGCCAATAGGATTGGAAGCTTGTTGGGGCTGTTGGACTCCCACCAAAAATGAGTAGGTTGCAGATTAATGATCGTTACGGGAGAGAAAGATTAGGGTAGGGTTGCGCATTTGTAGCGTGACTCTCACAAAAGAAGGAAAATTTTCTTTTTTGGTGTTAAACATGTTCGTTAACGGCCTTATACTATGCGTATCAGTCATGAGTTATAGTTTTTTATCAAGCTAAATATATTAAGTTCGACACCACTTCAGGTTTTACTAATTTAGCTAGTGTTACATGTTAATTTATTGTTTTGATTGTTCGGGGTTTTACAAGCTTTGCATAAAATCGTGCTTAATTGTCGTGGTTCAAGCTTTATAGTTGTTTGAGCGGATTTTCTATGTTAGAATTTCGTTAGATTTGTTGGTTATTTTTGTTGAAAACATTTTTTTTTTTTTTTGGAAACTATTTTTGTTGAACTTAGATACAAGTAAAAGTGGACATTGTGAGTAAATTTGTTGTGTAATAATATTAAATTTCACCTAATAAAATTTATTTTCCATTGGAAATAATAAAATTTTCTATTCGAAAAAAAAGAAAAGGATTTGGGATGAACGATTATTTATTATTTATTATTTTTTTAATAAATTAATAGCATTGGTGCCAAATAATATTTTCTTTAACAAATATTATTATCCATAATAAGAATGAGAGAATGAGTTTAATCTCACAATAAAACAACAGTAATGTAATTCAAATTCGTTTTTCTTGCTAAATATATAGTTATAAAAAAAATAGAAGCAATTAGGTCTGCGTGCGTAAGGACAATGATATTTTGCCACCAAAATAAAAGCGTCCTCGGTTGTTTTGGGCCCATTTGTTTTTTTATTGATTTGTTTTTGTTTTTTATTAATTTCTTATTGTTTTTAGAAAAGGTAAACTTTTGTTTTTGATTGATTTGTATGATGTGTCGCGACTCCGTGAATTGAGCGTTTGCTGCGCCGTGTGGACAAGTACACTGAAGACAGCTCGGACACCGTTGGTTAAGACCGGCTGCAACGGATCGGATACTATTACGCAGTTGTGACTTTTGGAGTGTGACAGGATTCCAAGAAATGGACGAATGGATTATGAATGGAATGTGTTATTCACACATCATTTTTTTTTCTCACATATTCCTTGTTAATTTCTATATGTTGATATTCTTCATTTCATCTGATCCGACAACCTAAAATTAGAAAAATGTGTGAGAAATAAAAATTGATGCGTAGATATCATATCCCTTTTGAATTCTCTCAACAAGGACCCAATAAATGTCACAATCACACCAAATCCCCAAAAGAAAAGATAATTGTGGTTACGCACTCTCATAGTTGTTGGTATATGTATATAATTTTTTTTAGCAATATGACATCAAGTAACATCGTTAGAATAGGAGTAGTGCTCTTTACACACTTTTTTTTTGGCACACACATTTCATTTTATTTCTGTTGTCAAATTAAATGAATTAAAGAAAATCAAATAACAAAAATTAACAAGAGTGTGTGAAAATATGTGGTCATATTTTAGGAAACACATCCTCATTTTAAAAACTTGTTCGTGTGCTTCGCACACGATACCAAAAATCATAAATTCTAAATTCAGGGACCAAAGCTTTAATTTTATTTAATGCAGCGTAACATTGTTTTTTAATTGTTATCCACTTTAACTTTATTTATTTATAATCACTAAACAAGTCATTGAAAGAGTGAAAAAATTGGAATACTTTTCACACCCCTTTGGGCTTGTGCACCTTATTTTATTATTAGGAGCCAATTACATTGATGACCACGTCATATTCAAAGTGGACATTCAAAGATTAACATGTCAAATAAAAGGACATACGGCACTAATTTAGCACTATATAATTACTTTTAAAAAATGTTCGTGTACTTTTCATTACTTTTTAAAGAAAAGTAGATACGGTATTAATTTAGCATTATATAATTTCAAAATCTTTTCATTAATTTTTTTTGTGATAAATGTTCATGTACTTTTCTCGATACCAAAAATCACAAATTTTAAATTTAGGAACCAAAGCTTTAGTTAGAAATTATTTTTCAATTAATTCTTTTATCTAATGCAGCGTAATATTGTTTTTTAATTTTAATCCACTTTAACTTTATTTATTTATAATCACTAAAAAATGAGTACGTTGCAGATTAATGATAGTTACCAGGAGAGAAAGATTAGGGTAGGGTTGTGCATTTTTAGCGTAACTCTCACAAAAGAATGAAAATTTTATTTTTTTGATGTGAAACATGTCCATTAACGACCTAATATTCTACGTATCAGTTATGTGTTATAGTTTTTTTTTATTAAGCTAATATATGTTGAGTTTGACGGTAATACCACTTCAGGTTTTACTAATTTAGCTAGTATTACACATTAATTTATTGTTTTGATTGTTTGGGGTTTTACAAGCTTTGCATAAGATCTTGATTAATTGTCGTGGTTCAAACTTTATAGTTGTTTGAGCGGATTTTCTATGTTAGAATTTCGTTAGTTTTATTGGTTATTTTTGTTGAAAACTTAGATACTTGTCATATCCCGACCCGGGCGAGACCACTTCCCGGGCCCGCTCCACCACCGTAGCACGATATTGTCCTCTTTGGGCTTACCATTCCCTCACGGTTTTGTTTTTGGGAACTCACGAGCAACTTCTCAGTGGGTCACCCATCATGGGATTGCTCTAGCCACCTTCTCGCTTAACTTCAGAGTTCCTACAGAACCCGAAGCCAGTGAGCTCCCAAAAGGCCTCGTGCTAGGTAGAGATGGGAATATACATTTAAGGATCACTCCCCTGGGCGATGTGGGATGTCACAATCCACCCCCCGTAGGGGCCCGACGTCCTCGTCGGCACACATGCGACCAAGGTTAGGCTCTGATACCAAATTGTCACATCCCGGCCCGGGCGAATCACTTCCCGGGCCCACTCCACCACCGTAGCATGATATTGTCCGCTTTGGGCTTACCATTCCCTCACGGTTTTGTTTTTGGGAACTCACGAGCAACTTCCCAGTGGGTCACCCATCATGGGATTGCTCTCGCACGCTACTCGCTTAACTTCGGAGTTCCAACGGAACCCGAAGCCAGTGAGCTCCCAAAAGGCCTCGTGCTAGGTAGAGATGGGAATATACATTTAAGGATCACTCCCCTGAGCGATGTGGGATGTCACATACGAGTAAAAGTGGACATTGTGAGTAAATTTGTTGTGTAATAATATTAAATTTCACCTAATAAAATTTATTTTTCATTGAAAATGATAAATGTTTTTATTCAAAAAAAGAAAAGGATTTGGAGATAATGATTATTTATTATTTATTATTTTTTTGATAAATTAATAGCATTGTTGTCAAATAATATTTTTTTAACAAATGATATTATTTATACTAAGAATAATGAATGAGCTTAACCTTACAATAAACGAATAATAATATAATTCAAACTTGCATTTGAAGATAAATAGTTGGCTATAAAAAAAAAATCAGAAGAAATCATGTCCGCATGCATGGACAATGATATTTTGCCACCAAAATAAAAGCGTCCTTGGTTGTTTTGGGCCCTTTTGTTTTTTTATTGATTTGTTTTTATTTTTATTTTTTCATTACTTTTTGTTTTTAGAAAAGGTAAACTTTTGTTTTTGATTGATTTGTTTGATTGAATTGAACGTTTGTTGCGCCATGCGGACAAGTATACTGAAGACAGCTCGGACACCGTTGGTTTAAGACCGGCTGCAACGGATCGGATACTGTTACGCAGTTGTGACTTTTGGAGTGTGACAGGATTCCAAGAAATGGACGAATGGATTATGAATTCTGTCAACAAGGGCCCAATAAATGTCACAATCAAACCAAATCCCCGAAAGAAAAGATAATTGTGGTTACGCACGCTCATAGTCGTTGGTATATATATAATTTTTTTTTAACAAACAATATTCTATTTTAACAGGAGGATGATAGGTTTAGTCTGATAATATGTAAGATCCCACATCGTTTAGAGGAGTAATCATTATATGTATATTCTCATCCCTACCTAGCACGAGGTTTTTTGGGAGCTCACTGGCTTCGAGTTCCGTAGGAACTCCGAAGTTAAGTGAGTTCGCGCGAGAACAATCTCAGGATGGGTGATCCACTCGAAAGTTCTCGTGTGAGTTCCCAGAAACAAAACTGTGAGGACGTGGTCATGCTCCAAAGCAGACAATATCATGCTACGATGATGGAGCGGGCCCGGGCGGGGATGTGACAATTTTGTATCAGAGCCTAACTCTAGCCGTGGTGTACTGACGAGGGTGTCAGGGCCCTAAGGGGGGTGGATTGTAAGATCCCACATCGCCCAGGGGAGTGATCCTTATATGTATATTTCCATCCCCTACCTATCACGATGCCATTTTGGAGCTCACTGGCTTCGGATTCCATAGGAACTCCGAAGTTAAGTGAGTTTGCACGAGAGCAATCCCAAGATAGGTGACCCACTGGGAAGTTCTCGTGTGAGTTCCCAAAAACAAAACCATGAGGGCATGGTCGAAGCCCAAAGTGGACAATATCGTGCTACGGTGGTGGAGCGAGCCCAGGATGTGGTGGGGGCCTGAGCCGGGATGTGACATAACGGGTTAGCAATACTGTGCTTCAAATTAGTTTTTGACGATAATCTAAACCTAAGACCTCTCATTTACAAGTGAAGAAGAATACCACAAAACCATAGTACTAGCAGTTGTTGGTATATTAAAATATCAATAATATGACATTTGATTTTGGAGCTTAATCTAAAATGACATCAAGTAATATCTTTAGAATAGGAGTTGTGCTCTCCACACACTCTTTTTCCGACACACACATTTCATTTCATTTCTAATGTCGGATCGAATGAATTAAAGAAAATCAAAGAATAAAAATTAATAAGAGTGTGTGAAAACATGTGGCCATATGTTAGCAAACACATCCTCATTTTAAAAAATGTTCGTGTGCTTGTCACACGATACCAAAAATCACAAATTTTAAATTCAGGGACCAAAACTTTGGTTAGAAATTATTTTTCAATTAATTCTTTTATCTAATGCAACAAATATTGTTTTTTTATTTTTTATTTCAATCCATTTTAACTTTATTTATTTATAATCACTAAACAAGTCATGTTGAAAGAGTAAAAATATTGGAATACTTTTCACACACCTTTGGACTTGTGCACCTTATTGTATTATTATGAGCCAATTAGATTGATGACCACGTCATATTCAAAGTGGACATTCAAAGATTAACACGTCAAAGAAAAGGAGATACGGCACTAATTTAGCACTACATGATTACTTCATTTGATTCCATGGTTCCGAGTTTTGGACTGAATGGTCGGCAACAGCATTGGGTTCAAATATAACAGCATATATTACACGTAATGTATCTTAACGATCACAACCGTCTATTTTTTAGAATATCATTCATAGATTATTTTTGCAAAAAATTAGATAAATTCAAAACTATTAAGACATTCATTTGTAGTGAATAAAGCGGACGAAATTTGGTTCTACAAATAAACCCTAAACCCTAAACCCTTAACCCTTAACCAACAGTCATATGATTTGAGATTTTGATATTTTTTGTAAACATAATTTTTAAAAGATAATTTAAAAAATAGACGGTTCAAATCGTTAGAATACATTAGAAGTGGACCCACAAAACTTGTATCATAATTTATGTAATAAAAAAAGTAATGTCATGAATTCATCCCCTTTATATGTTTATAGAATATATGCCTTGCTTTGCTTAATTTGGTCATCCAATTGTGACAATTTATACAAAGCATAATTAGACAAATGGAGAGCATTGTAATGCATTGATTGAGTCTTTTTTGACAAGAAAGTAGTGCTTTTCCTTTGGTCGGTACAAGAAAGTATGCTTAGAATACCAAGAGCATCCTCGCCTGATCCTCTTTGTCAGGATCTTGAGGATCGCCAATCACATATGTTCATCATACATCGTGCGGTAAAAAATCATTGTAAATTTTTTATTTAAAATTGAATATAAACAGTACCTGACAAAAACTGACCACACGATGTATGACGAACATATGTAATTGGAGGATTCCCAGGATCCTCACTCCTTAGAATATTATCAAGCTTTCAAGCTTGATTTTGTGCAGATCCTTTTTTTTTTTTCTCCTCGCGTACAGAGAGTCATTTTTTTAATTTGTAAATCATATCATAATATAACACGTATACATAAATAATTCGTTAAAACGATATTAACCTAGTTATTTGAAAATGTAGGAAGCATGTAACATGAACGTGCACACAACGTACAGTAATATATAAATAAGGTAGAAACTTCGTTTGCTCATAAATATGAAGTCTAAAATGTTTCACACGTAACAGGCATGCCATGCTTTGAGTATATGGAAGCTTGCAGTTTCTGCACCTGTATTTGCAGGTGGGCTTCTCCCAAACTGAGATTAATCGTTAGATAAATTGATGTAGTCCAAAATTATGATGTGTGGCTCTCACATCAAAGGAGTACAACATTCTACCGTCTAAAAGTAGGTGGTCGGCTACTAATTGTATTGAGACCCTTTTCAGATAAAACCTCGTAGGATCTCCTATTTTTAGAATTTTCTTTCCAATTTTACTATCATACGATGTATGCGACAGATCGAGGAGAGGAAGAGAATGAGTTCAAGAAGCACAATAGTACACTAGTATAGCTGAGCATGAAATTTTCATCAAATGGAAACATAATTAACACTACGGACATGATCGGCTTAAGATACTGCGGATGATTGGCATTCCGAAAGAAGAAGGATTAGGACTATTGTTCTTCTGAGGTCACTTTGTCTAGGCATGTCTAATAAGCTTGATGTTCTACGTACTACCTCCCTAACATTAGATTGACTAGATCAGCTTCACTTTCGTAAAATGAACAGACATCCCAATCATCCTTGGACGATGTAAGTGTCATCAGCGCAACCACAATCGATCTCATGCTCGGTCTCGGTTGAGGGTTTTCTTGTGTGCAAGCTTTCGCAAGTTGTGCCTTCTGCACCCGAAAAGCCAGCATGGCATTGCTAATATAATAAAATCTGCATTCCGAAATGAAATTTTACCTTACAGATTGAGCTCAAGGGGACAATAATCCCCGAGTCTGGGGTCAAGTAGTTTACCAAGATCTTCTCTTGGATCAGGCCGATTAAGAACATTTTCAAACTGCATCACATTAAGTGTGTGGTGTATTTTCCCCTCTCTAATCGCTTTTGATACCTCCATCATCCTTAACAGGGAGAAACATATCATCTTGGGGTCACTCTGGAGGTTTAAGAAGTTCGGATGTATGGACCAGAGGTGCGGGGACCATTATTTTATTTATGTCTCCATGTATTATTTACTAATTTCTGATGGTTTCCCTGTTCTATTATTTCTTGTCATAATGTGCTTGCGATTGATATTTTTCCTTAATAGACTGCATATGATTGTGAAAATCCTAAGGAGTCCGAGTCTCCCCGTTTTCAAGCTTAACAAGTGCACCGAGAAAGAGGCTTCCTGCGGATATAAAAAGTTTTTCCCATGAACTGAATTCAAAAGGTGTACGACCTTTTCCATTTTGGAAGCCTCGAGGCTTGAACAACCTGGAAGTACTTATGTCTTCATCTTATATCACATTTTTATGAGTAAATAAATTTGAACTAGGAAATTTTACCTGCTTGGAATCATGCTTGGATATGCAGGAAATCTTGGTTGCCATTAGGGCAAAGTTTGAGAAAGCAAAGGAAGACGCGAACTCTGATCTGGCTATATTTGCAGCAGATTTAGTTGGAATTCTTGAAAAAGATGCAGATAATCATCCAGAGTTGCAGGAAACCCTTGAGGATTTGCTGGTTTTGGCACGAAGTTGTGCAATGACATCATCTCCCTTTGATTCAGCAACATATTCATTTGTCCTGATAACAACTTCCTTGGCAGATATTAGTTCACAAAGAACGACACCAAAGGCGTAAACATTTTGGAGAAACATCGCCATATTGAGCATACCTAAATAATCAATCATGTCAATAGAGTAAAAGTAGAAGAAAATTGAGTAGATGTGAGATTATCTCAATGCGTCCAGTCTTTGGAAAATGTTGTTAAAATCAATGACATTGAAATTGATGCTATATTGAACGAACATCTGTTTAATAGCCCGATTAATGAATGAGCATCTTTGGACCTGGGATTACTCACCAGAAAGCTAATCAAGCCCCCCATATGATTGATTAGCAGTTGTCCTATTCCATTCACGTACACTCTTGTCTAGTATCTTCGACAAAAATATGCATCCACAGATGCAACTGTGTTATTTGTCTTTTAATTCCCAGAAATTATCAGATAATCTCTTCAATTATTCTCTAATTATTGTTTGAGCACTGTCTGAAATTCGTCCATGTGTTTTCTATGAACGGGAGAAAGAGACCTAGCGAAAGACGGAATAAAACCAAATCCAGTATATTTGTCTAATATATTGCCAGTCACTGCAATTGTCATGCATACGATTTATTAATGACAATTAGGAGAATTAAATACATCATGGCTCATCTGAGTTCTAATCTCCTGCAAGTCTACTAAAAACTATATTTAGCTTATGATACTAAAAACTATTTTAGTTTATAAGAGAAATTTCAGCGGAACTGTCTGATTAGGACAATTCTCACATTGCATGAACTAGCGTAGAATTGAATAGAGCTAAAATACAAAAATCACATGTTTTTGTGTGAGGCTCTCTGTAGATGGTGTGGTTGGGCGCCCCTCATTTAACTTTTTACGGTTTCTGAGGAGTATAGTAATGAATAAAATAATTATAATGCATGCTAACCTCTTGCCGGCACAAAGACTAAGCCATTCCCAGAACTAAAACCGGACCCTTGGTTGTACAACTTCAGAAACCCTGCCGGGACACCCTTCTCCACCGCTAGGTACGACAAGTTCTCACCGGGACGGAGTTCACCCTTTGCAGCCACTCTGCGGTGAGATTAGCAAAAGCAGACTCAGCAAATATATTGTAGGTATCACCATGCTGGTTTATAGCTTCAAGTAGAGGACAAGAGCAAGAGAAACATTCATTTTCCTATGTCCTGACTGGTAGGCGGGCTGTGGGCCAATGGGTCGAAGTAAGAGAAAAACTTGAGCAAAAGTGTTCGATAAAGTAAGTTCCCTCCCCGTTTGTAGGGCACTTTTCACAAATAACACTTGTACATTAGTAGCACCGGATCTTATATGGTATGAATATTCTCATAGTCAGGCAATCTCGTAGAACATCTTCTCTTGAAGTTGTCGATTCTTTTGATTCTCCTCATTTATGCAATCATTGCGAACCTATGCATAAATAACTTATCAAAAGTACAGAAGTAAATATCTTACATGTCAAATTTTTACTTTCATGACATGCGTACATATCATTATAGTGTACTTTGCTAATTATATAATATTATATAAAGAGATATACATATATAACATTGTATCATTGATACGGAATGTAATATGACAGAATTCTTAGCTAAATAGGATAGAAAAACTTGAACAGGTGGGCTCCACAAATGGATAGCAAAACTCTTACTTGCTTGCCAGGTAGGCTTTCATAGATATTTTGGACCATGGAGCTGGACTTGTGGTGGCATGAACTTGAAGATATTTTTTTTTCCCAAATATCTGATCATTCAGAAATCCCAATTCAGTCTGCTCTGCTCTATTCTGCTCCTAGTTATCCATGGAATCCTCTGCGTCAATACTCCCACTCTCTCAGCTCCCTTCTGTTTTCCCACAAAAACCCAAAAGAAGCAATTTACCTTACAATCCTTCTTGGCTATCCAATTCCAAACCAAGAGCCTCTCGTCCCCCTCGCATGCACTGCCACAAGATGTATGTCCGTGGTGGGTACTTCAGTAAATTACGTTTGCTCCACACCCATATTTGTTGGCAAGAAATTACCTACAAGGGGATGCTGGCGTCTCTGTTGGTATCCCAAGTCAAATCACGCACCGTCGTCTCACATGACAGTGCGTTATACACTTGTATATTGTTATGCGTTTTAATATTTTGACATGTCATATGCAGGATTTGGAGAAGCGTCGCCGGAAGCAAAGGCGGCCAACAACCTCCACAGTTTCTTCACTTATGTTGCAGTTAGTATTGTCTGTGCTCAGCTTGAGGTTCTTTCCTCCTCCTTTCCTTTGTTCTTAATTTCTTCATCGAATTTATATGTATTTTCGGTAGTATATATTTGTTAACAGTAAATCTCTCAGAGCAGAGTTACAACACGGAGGCATACGAAGAGCTGATGGAATTTCTGAGTAGGAACTCGTTGAATGATGGAGACCAATTCTGTGCCAATCTGATGAGAGAATCTTCCAGGCATAAGGGTCTAGGTATGTCCATATCCAACAGCTGCTAAACTCCTGCTACGTAAATTATCTATGCAGAACGTCTGCTTTTTGTTACAGATGGACACATCGAAAATATTATCAATAAGTTGGGAAATTTTGTTAACAACGATAATAAAAACGGACGTGTTTCATAGGCAGATTACTTACCTAATCTGAATTTTGACAATGTGGGTTTATTTGTGATTTATGTGGCGTCCAAATGGCAGCTTTGCGCATCCTAGAGGTCAGTCCATGACTTGTGAATTAAGTCAATTTGGATGCTTATTTTATTTGTTTTATAATCCACCAACTTGTTAACAATGACAAATTTGAATATGGGGGCTATTTTTTGTGTCCAGGTTCGATCTGCATACTGTAAAAATGATTTCGAGTGGGACAACTTGCAGCGATTAGCCTTCAAGGTCAGGAATTATTACCTTTCATTTTATTTTATCCCCCGTGTCATGGGGGAAGCAGATTGTCTGCCCTCTGATATGGTGCCATTTTCATACCCTCCTATTTTATGCGATCACGGTTAAGCCACGTTAATATTTTATATTGATTTTTTTATAGAGATATAAGACAAAAAGCAATAGGAATATAAAATGTTGACGTGGCTTAACCGTAACCTCATAAATAGAAGGGCATGGGGAGGGCACCATATCAGGAGTGCAGACAATCTGCCTCCTGTCATGGGAAAGTAAGTCTGTTAAAAGGGTCATGTTTGTCGTGTTCATGTCATTTTCGTGTTTATTCGTTATCTTAATGAGTCATGTCATGTCAAACCCGTTATCTTAACGGGTTCTTATCTGGTGTCTCAATAACAACCCGATTCCTTAACGAGTCGTGTCTTTTTATGTCGGGTTAACAGGTCATGCAAGAAATTGTCATGCCGAATGTCTAGGTCTGGAAAACAATATCTTATCGGATTCTTAACAGATTACCTGAAAACGATTTGATCTGTTAATAGGTACTCAAAACATGTGATTTGAGAATAACCTGAATCGTTAATGGGTTGACCCGAAACATGTTATTTTCAAGTTGTTTTGTGCTTGGTTAACGGGCCGTGCAAATAATTATCCAGCCTATATAAAGTAGCTACTTATTTTACCGGCTTATAACTACAGGGATAAAGAGAAAAGTTACCCTTTTATGATTCTCGATCATTTCTCTTTCTTTTGTTTTTGTAGATGGTGGATGAATCCAATACGAGGCTCATGAGAGATTATGTCCTAGAAATAAGTCATGTGGAAGGTGAACAGGAGAAGTGAGAGTTGACCCGATCGAATCAGTACATAAAGATGAAGCAGGTTTCCGACGTGGGACTCTATTCTGTATATGTTTCAATAGTTACAGCAACGTCGTATTTAATTTGTTACTACTAATGTTCGATAAAAAAATGTATGCGATTACAGTTGCTTTCAAATTACCAGATGCAAATCAGGGAGTACCTTGTTTACTTCTGTATTATATTTAACTGCCAGCAATCTTGAACTACAGTCTAAACTATGACATGATGTTCGAGCCCTGCAACAAAATACAGAATATGTAATTTTGACTTCTTGTTTAAAGAATTAGGATTCTCTTCCCTCCTCTTTCTATCCACTTCCATCCCTTCGTCTCACATTTTTTATTTTATCTCTTTTTCTATAAAAAATTAATATAAGATGTTGATGTGACTTAACCGTGACCGTTCAAATAGGAGGGGAGGGAAAAAAAGAGAGAAGAGAATCCTACCCCTGTTTAGAGGGCTTCAAGTCTTACAATCTTCACCAAAATAGATTATACAAGCATTTTTCCATGGAAATGTAGGGTCTAAGCATCTTTTCTCACACGCGCATGAACATGTGAGGCATTTCTTACGGTAACTAAATTATTAAGGTGTCACTTCTGTACACGACTAATTGCTTAAATGTAGCTGCCAAGATCACTAGAAGTACGGATGAGCCCTGTACTAAAATACGACAGCATAGTCTTCAATGTGCTCCAATCTACAACCATGGATCAGTAATATCATTGCTTAATGCTTAACATTTGAGGTGTTGTACTCAGATTGAAATCTATGAGCAAAAAGGAAAAGGTTGGTTTTGGTTTTCTGTAAACATAATTCACCATAATGGATTTGGATCCTCACTGGGTCGCTCCCTGGGGATCCTAGGGATCAATGAACACGAACCGTTGATAAAAAATCGTACGGTCACAATTTTTTTCACCAAAATGATAGTGTTTTACTTTTAAAAATATAAAAAACATTTAATTGAGACCATACGATTTTTGATCAACAGTCTATGTTCGTTGATCTCTAGTATCCCAAGCAGGTGAGGATCCAAATCCCACCGTAATGCCTCCACTTTGATGGAGGCCTTTCTCTGACCGGTCCGCCATCATGTAATCCACAGTAAGAAAACTCAGACTTTGCATGTCCATGCATTACGGTGAAATTGATTCACTCTATTCATCATATTATACAACAAATATAATGCCTCCTATGAGGAAAATTAAATCTATAGTCAAAGAAACAAATAGCTGTTAATAGCGTTTCGTAAGGGACTGTAAAACTAGTTATGTCATTGTCAATTACACGCAATGCTGGAATGGTTATAACATTATTATTTTAATTAAAAAAAAAAAGTTATGTCATCGTCAATTATACGCTACTCCAATATCACTAATTTAGCAAGAAAAATTTCACTTAACAACAATGTATTAATATATCTGGCACACAGTCGCATTACAAAAAAGTTTGGAATTTCACAATCGCATTCAAAATATAAAAATTCAAGCTTTTAGAGTAACAAAAAAATCGTATAAAATAAAAAAAATAAAATAAAATAAAATAAACCTCTTATTGCTCGAGGCATTGAGCTTTTCGCTTCCATGCTGAACCAATCGTCCGCTCGATTGTCTTCCATCGGAATTAGACGGCGTTTGGTTAACCACGATCTGTTGTAAAATCACCAGTAAAAGTCCATTGCAATCCAAACGCGGCCTTAAAAGTTTCCAGACTTCTCTTATTTGGCTTGGGCTAATTCTTGTCCTTTGGATCCGGGTCACCGAAAATTAGAGGCCTCCTTGATTGTAACACTAGACTGGACCAAGGCTTAATTGGTCTTCAACCCTATAAAAATAAAGCCCAATGGCTTTGGTTTTTATAGTTTCAGTTGTCTAACTCTTGTAGTTTATTACCTCCAAAAAAAAAAAAAAAAAAAAAAAAGACTATTGTAGTTTATTAGTTGGAATTTGGATCATCTCTTAACCTTAAGTGTTCGGGCCTAATGACCAAGAAATATGAGCTCTTGGTTTGTGTGAAAGAAAAATTGGAGTCATTAGTTTGTGAGGTGGGCTAGCCGAATGAGTTAATGGGGACCATCATATTCAATTTGAATGGTCTGGATTGGTTGGTCCTTAGGCTCCTGATGATGAGATCCAAAGTAGATCTTTGTCATATTAGTTGTAGCAAATGAGGACTACTTTATTGACGATTTGGTATGAAAATAAACATATGTTTATTGAGTATTCAATACAATGAAATGTTCATAAAGTTGGCTTATTGACGATTTGGTATGAAAATAAACACATGTTTATTGAGTATTCAATACAATGAAATGTTCATAAAGTTGGAGGTCCACAGTATTTGACTTGTGCCTTTATTGTATAGTCAGTCACACACACACACACACACACAAGGGTGAATCCAGACCAATAAGACTTCCCGCATTACGAAAGTCGAAAAAACATCTATCGTAAACAGTCTTATATTTACTTTACAAAATTTTGAGGTCACAAATGTGTGTGTGTGTGTACTTATATACACACGTATATAAAGCCAGGTGTAGTATACAGAACTTGGAATAATGGTGGATGGTGGTGGTCACGTGGATGGTGGACTAGTATCCAACGCATATCTTACTTAGAACTTAAGAAAATGACAAACAAAGTGGATGCAATGACAACTGGTGCGGGATTATTCTTTGCTTCCTTCGATTTCTAAATTGTGAATATAAGTTGAATATTATTTATGGCTTTTTCTCAACTTTGTATAGGTTGTCACCGGAAACTCACTTGCGCCACGACTAACAGTAATAACACATACGGCACAAGCGGTATAAAAAAAATATCATTTGCATCAACAATTAACAGTAATTTTACACTCGAACAATTATTATCGTCCGATTGTCCTTGAATTAATACTAAATACAAACAATTATTCTCGTCCGATTGTCCTTGAATTAATACTAAATACAATCGTCCGAACTCAAAATTGTGTTTATTCTTAGTCGTCAGTACACAGAAGTGCATGATTTTAATAGTACGTATAAAATTACATGAAATTCACATGCAGTGCGGGCCATACTGATTGCGAACAGATATAGCGGCAAGTTTCTGTACCATAAATGGCATTGTTTGGTTGATGGGATGGGGACAATTCTTGAGAGAAACACTTTCAGGTCATGCAGGAACCCGGATCCTTTCCGGACTCAAAAAATCTGAGCCTAAAGATCAAATGATCTGTGCCGTTGAAATTTAATCAACGGCTACAATTATTATAACTTTTAAGGGGGTTTCCTGTTTGTAGCCGTTTGATCAATTTCAACGATCTGGATCATTTGATCCTTAGGTTCAGATTTTTTGGATCCAGAAGAGATCCAGGTCCATGTATTATCACTTTCGTATGCTAAGTAACAATGTGTGCCATGTAAGTTATTCTTGCTTTCTCAACTAATTGCTGTTACAGCCTATTTCTTATTAGTGTTATATTATAGGGCTCGTAAATGCTTTTAAAGTGACTGAACGCGCTTTTGATGAAGATGTTTTTTAAACTAATTATTGGTAAAAATCTAAATGAATCATGAAAAAGTACTTCAAATGTTTTCTACAAAAAGCATCAAAAAATACTTAGTGATTTTGAAATCCAAAATCAATTTCGTTAAAAAACGTTTTTAATCATTTTAAACAAACTTCTGAACGAACTCAAAATGTTAATTTAATTTTCTTTTTATTATTAAGTGGGGAACATCTGCAACGTGACTAACAATGCAGGGCAGACAAATTGGAATTAATGGAATACACCGTGGTGATTCTCTTTTCTTTGTAAGTTTGTAGAAGATTGAGTACTGTTAACGAATTGTTGGAAATTAACATTAACCTAGTTAACAGAAAGTGATTGATTTAGAATAAATATTATGAAAATTAGATCATGGGATCCTACTGTTCATCTGAACTTGGAAGGAGTAAGAAAAGTTCTTTATTCTGTTAACCAACCTCATCATGAAAATAAAAGTCATAAATTTTAGGCAGTCAACAAGGAAATCTGCTCCCTGTCTCTTCCCTTTGTTCGAATTAATTATCACACCGTTACATGTTGTTGAATCTTCGTATATACAGATGCATCAATATTATACTATAAGTATTGATATATATATATATATATTAACAACGTGGTTCACTGTATTATATATAACATATAAACTAAGAGCGCATTACATTGGAGTATGATTATCGCACTCATAAATTATCATGTTCATCTCTCTTCGTTTGTGTGTTATGAACCGTTAACATGAACTGTCGAAGGAATCTAAAGGCAGATCACGGGCAGTTCATTGCCTTCCCATTCATGGAATAAAATTTGGAAGGCCTATACAAGTTAGTTCTTCAAGGCTCACAACACAACATTCAATTCCACTTTTCTTTTATGATTGAGAAATGACATTAACGGTCCATGATCCTTTTTTACATATTTTTTAAGAAACTGTCATTATTGGTACTTTAAAATTTTCATTTTGTATTTCTTATAAGTATATTTTTTAATATAAAAATATTTGAATTGTAAAATGAAAATTTCAAAATACCAATAACAATTTCCTTACGATGATAATTTATGGCTGCATCGTTTTCTTAGGGTCACTTTAAAGGTTAGTATAGTAAAACTACAGTCGAAATTGGACTTTTTTTTTTTTGGTGAAGAACGGGGATTACAACCCAAAGAGAACTACAAAACAACAGCGAAACGAGTCCAAGGGACTCCTGCAACATCATCAATGAGAGCTGATCTAATCCAAACGGGAGGTTCATCAAATACAAGAACACCAATATCCATATTATAACTCCAGTTAACCAACTGATCCGCCATAATATTCTTCTCTCGGTAAATGTGATTCAATTCACACCTCCTCAATTGTCTCATCATTAATCTGCAGCTACGCATAATTGTCTCCAAAGGATGGAAATTATCAACTGGGGTTTGCTTCAACAACATAACAATAGCCTTGGAATCCATCTCAATATGAAGATCAATAGCACCCTTATCAATAGCAAGCTGTAAACCAAAGAATAAACTCCATAATTCAACATCACAAACCTGCCCTTGTCCCAAATTCACCGCAAAGCCAACTAACCAGTTGCCATTATGATCTCTTAGCACACCACCAGCCCCAATTCGACTAGAATTCATCCACATTT